CCATCACCATCGCCCGGAGCCATCACCATTGCCCCGAGCCTTCACCATGCCCTGCGCTGAGCCATCACCATTGCCCCGAGCCATCACCATCGCCCGGAGCCATCACCATTGCCCCGAGCCCCTGAGGGCTCGACTTCTGCAGATTGCATCACCCAGGCTCCCTTGCTGGCTGCTTCCAACTGGGTTTGTTCAATGGGAGGCACCAGGAGGAGATCACAGGGCAGAGCACAGATAGATCAGGTATTTTGTTCTCGATCCCTCCATGTTTTCTGGCAGCGGCTTATCCTTTTCGAGGGCAGTGGGAGGGCTCTCATGGGGCTCTCGTAACACCGTTTCCTCCCCCTGACTCCTCAGGACTCGAGGCTTCCCACTGTTGCTAGTCTCTGGGTACCTCAACATCTCTCTCTTTTTTTTCCCCCAATATCTCTTGTTGGTCCCTTAACCCTGCTCCCACCTCTGTGAACAGTCCCTTCATTAAAGTCTTGAACTATCTGAGCTGGATTCTCTTGCCTGCTGGAATCCTGAATGATACAGAAAAACCAGTTAAAAGCAGTTGCCATCAAGATGATTCTGATTCATGGCGACTCCAATGTGCCACAGTAGAACTGTATTGCTCCACAGGGTTTTCAATGGCTGATTTTTCAGAAAGAGATCTCCAGGCCTTTCTTCTGAGGCACCTCTGGGTGCGTTCAAACCTCCAACCTTTTGGTTAGCAGCTGGGTGTGTTAACCTTTTGCACCAACCAGGGCTCCAGATACCCAAAAACCAACCAAACTCAAACTCATTGCCATTGAGTCAATTCTAACACATAGTGACCCTATAGGACAGAATAGAACTGCCCCATAGGGTTTCCAAGGCTAAAAACTTTACAGAAGCAGGTGACCACATCTTTCTCCTGTCGAGCCGCTGGTGGGTTCAAACTGCCGGACCTCCCGGTTAGCAGCTGAGCACTTTAATCACTGCACCACCAGGGCTCCTTAGATATAGGGAACAACCCCCTAAATCTTCTTCCCCTGCCTCTCTCCTTCCCCTCTGGCAGCTGAGGTCAAGATCTCACCATTAATCACCGGTGTGAAGACAGCCATCCCTGCAAAGTTGGGGTCTGAGACAGTCTTGTCCAAGATGAGGCCTCCCACACTACAGACACAAAGACAAGGTGACACCATTGAGAGGCTCTTCTCTGGTCTCTGGGGTGAGGGGCACAGGCCCACTTGGCCTTGGGGAGGAGGGGAGATAAAGTGGGTCCCAGGAGTCCCCTTTCCTTTGCCAGAACCAGCTGCTAGTTCTAACACTCTGACTTGGCAGTGCCCCAGAGACACTGGTAGTTCTAACACTCTGACTTGGCAGTGCCCCAGAGCCACTGCTAGTTCAGTTAAGGCAGCCTCTTCCTGTACCCACCCCCCAAGCTGGCTTGAGGAGCCGCTGCAGAGCTACCTGCCACGAGGACCCCTGTTGTTTTGCCTGCTCAGCATTTATTTCCTCTTCTGGTGACAGCACTGGGCTCTTCCTTAGGGAACCACCTCTCTCAGACTCAGTCATTACGGTTTAGGGACACTGCTTCAATGCTGGCTAGGTCCCTGGACCACTCAGTCAAAGCACTGCATCCCTAAGGCCATAGTGATTGGTTCAGGATAGACATGTGACATAGTCACAGCCAATGAAGCTCTATTCTGGGACTGTGTGGCACTGCTGGGGAAAAGAATCTCTCTCTCTCCCCCCACTGGAGTAAGAAAAGCATCAACCTGGAAATGCCTGCAGACCATCATGGAGAAAAGCACAGCTGAGAGATGGAGCAGACTGGGGCCCTGATGATCTTGTTTCATCCCTGGAACCCAGCTGTGCCTTCTCAGTTCTGTAAGCCAGCACATTCCCTTTTTGAATCAAACCCATCTCAAGTGGTTTCTGTCACTTGCAACAGAAGGACATGTGATTGAAGTCATTTCTAGGGTTAGAGCCACACCCCCTCTCTTTAGGGCTTAAAAGGGAGACTGTGGTGGAGTGGGAGCATGGTGGGAGTGCGTGCCTAGGCCCAGAGCCTACCTGCTGATGGCCATGGCAATGATGACAGGCTCCCAGCCAGAGTACAACACCTCCCTTGTGGCTGGGCTCCGCCGGGCCAGCACCACCCAGACAGGCAGCAGGGCCACGAAGAAGGCACACACCGGAGGGTAGATGTATCGCCAGTACTCTGAGACAGCAGAGACCAGAGGGGAGGTGAGCACTGTGCCCCTCACCCCAGCCTCCCTCTGGCCTGCTCAGTCTGCACCTGTCGTCCCCACAGATGAACAGCAACACCACAGTAAATACCCATAAACATATTACTTTGTTTGATCTACCCAGCCGGTAGGCAGGGCCAGCCCTTCCATTTTATAGATAAGAAAACAGGTAGAGAGCTGCCCAGGTACTGAACTAAATTAGGGACAGATGTCAGACTCTAGCTGTCTTGATTCTGATCCCAGAAATCACTATCTCCCATCCCCCTTCTTTACTTCGCAAACAGATTCCGGCCTTAGTTCCTTTCCTTTGCTCTTTTTACCTTCCTCCTCCAAGAACAGCCCAAATCTACAGGACCAGGAAGGACTATACTCCTCAGACACTCTCCTCCAGCCTGCAACCGCTGCCTGCACAAATTGGATCAGGAGCTATTACGAGCTCCGTTCAAATGGAATGATTAAGAACACAGAAGTAAGTACTGCTTGCACATTTGCAAGACCACTACCATCACTCGATCCCCCCGAGGGGCCCACCCTACCACAACCTCAGGGCCTTAGCCTCACCCAGCTCCAGGTAGAGTCCCCAGCTGATGCCTGAGAGGAGCGCCAAGGTGATGAGGTCGCCCAGGCTGGCAGCAATAGGGGTGGCCACGTTGTCTGGGTTGATCCCAATCTTACGAGAGCCAATGATGACACCGATCATGATCATACCTGGTGAGCAGGGGGAGGGGGACCAGCAGATGAGAAGAGAAAAAGAGGTATCGATAAACAAAAAGGGAGAGTGGATGGCCACGAAAGATGCTCAACATTATTAGCCATTAGAGAGATGCAAACCAAAACTATAGTTGCCTGCAGTGAGATACCATCTCCCCCCTATTAGAATGCCAAGGATCAAAAAGATAGTAAACAATAGGTGTTGGTGAGGTTGTGGAGAAACTGGACCCTAATCCATAGCTGTTGGGAATATAGATGGTGCAGCCACTGTGGAAAACAGTTTGGCGGTTCCTCAAAAAGTTGAACATAGAATTACCAGAAATCCCAGTCCAAAGTATACACCCAGAAAAAGTGAAGGCAGGAACGCAGGCAGGAATGCAAACAGAAGCCTGTACACCAATGTTCATTGCGGCACTGTTCACAATAGCCAAAAGGTGGAAACAACCGAAATGTCCATCCAAGGATGAATGGATAAACAAAACGTGGCATATCCATACAATGGAATACTACCCAGCCATGAAGAGCAATGAAGTCCTGGTGCACGCCACAACATGGATGAACCTTCAGGACATTATGCTGAGCGAAATTAAATCAGTTGAAAAAGGACAAACATTGGATGATCTCACATGAAATACGCAAATACATAAAAAAACCAAAGATTATTTGTGGTTCTCCAGGGTGGAAAGGAGCAGGAGAGGGGAGGTTCTGCCTTGAGTTTACGTTACAGGTGGTGGAATGACTCGGAAAAGGATAGTGAGAACGGTTACACAGCTTGAAGCAGGTATTCAGTGTCACTGAATTGTACATGTAGAAACTGCTGAGCTGGTATATTTTTTACTATGCATATTTTCACACAAGAAAATTAAAAAAAAAAAAAAAAAAAGAGGGGAGCAAGGAGGCGCCCGGCTTAGCGGACACCCGTGTGCAGCCCTCCCTCCTCCTCCTCTGCCGACACCTCCCTTCCTTACCCAGTACCAGGGAGGCGATGAAGGCCGTGGCCACGCTGCTGGCACACAGCAGGAAGGCATGCGGGATGCTGAAGTGACCATCAGGGATCCAGCCAAAGACAACGGCTGCGATGGACGCCAGGAAGCCCACCACTGTGGCCTGCACCTGAGAAGAGCCCAGGACCAGAGAGTTTCTTAGCTGAGGTCACTGAGCACTTAGCTGGACCTCTTCCTGGCCCCCCAGCAGCCCCAGGAGGCAGGCGGGGCTGGACTGTCCAAGTCCTCACAGGCTGGAATGATGTCTTTATTTATTTAGTTTCTCACCAGACACTAGTATGGGGCAGTGCACACTGCAGGAGCCCAGTACGCGTTACTGGCAGAATGAGTGTTCTCTGGGGACTGGGCTGACGCTCAAACAGAGCCAGAGACTTCAGTTCAGAGTCAAGACCTGGGACTCAAGGGAGAAGACTCCCAGTCCAGAACTCGTGTGGCCTCTTGGGGAGATGGGACAACAGTGGTAGAGGACACTTCTGCACTCCTGAGTCTGCTCCTGTAGCCGGGATCTGTGGGGACTCTTGGCCCCCTCACCACTTGGAGCAGAGCAGTGGCATGGGAGATGCTGGGGCCCACCCCATGCCGGCTGTTTTTCCTGGATAACCTAGAGTTACTCTGGGAGAAGCCAGCTCAGCAGGATGCTGGAGTTTCACTCAGGAGCAGCTGGGCGGGCCTGAGCCTTTCAGAGATTCCTGACTTAAGGTGGACTCGGCCCACCCTCTCGGGCCCCTGCTCTCTCACCTGGATGAGGGCCATGTTCCCGGTGATCATCCGCCAGAGCTCCTTGGGTGTGTCCATGTGCCCGATGTTGGCCTGGGAGAGGGAGGCAGGGGACTGAAGCTCCAGGCCGGGCAGGGCCTGCAGCTCCACCATTGGGTCCCTGCCTGGATCAGGAGGCAGTGCATGTGGCCCAGGACTCGGACTGGGACATGACCACCAGGGAAAGGGAATCAGGACCAGGGAGACTGGGTAAGAAGGAAGGAGCTAAAGAGTGCTCAGCTCCTGCAGCTGGGGCTGGGGAGGGGGCTCCCAAGGCAGCCTCCTCCTTCTGCCTTGCTTATCTGGGCAGTCCATTCCTGCAGGGGTCAGAGTGACCCTACGCCTGGCTCTGAAGCAGCTCACCACCCCAGGGAAGGAAAGGTCAGCTGCTGGTGCAGGACTGAAGCTGTAAGAGTGTTTGGGAGGAGTGAGGTGGTGTGGCCAGGGCTAGGACAAGCTGGAGTGGGCTAGCCTGCTTGCCACTTCCCTCTGCTGCCTCCTCCAGGCGCTTGGCCATGCAGGGACATCCCTGACACCTGCTTGCCTGAGTTTTATCACCCCCACCTCCCACCCCGTGGCCCTGTATCTGGTTCAGGCTGTGAACCGTCAAGGCTGAGTGGCGGTGGGAGGGAGGAGCGATGAACGTTAGCAGCCCCTCCCTGTCTACTCCCTGAAGAAGAGCATGCTCTCTCAGGGGAAAGGGACGTGGATGGGAGGGAGGCTGGGCAGCCTGGCTCTGCTCCTGCCCAGCTGCAGAGCGGGGCTGGAGATCAGAGGAGGCCCCCAACTGTGCGGGTGGAGGGGCCAGCATGGTGCCTGCCTGTCAAAGCTGCACAAACAGTCACGAGGCGGTTGTGAAGCAGGAGTCCAGGGACGCCTGGGACAGCCAGAAACCAAGTATGGGACCAGTCTGGGTGGGGAGCCCCTTCCAGGAAGCAGGACACCTGGCCCAGGATCCCCTATACCTGCCCAGCCAGCCCCTCCCTTCCCACTCTAGCCTGGTGCTCCAGACCTGGCAGTCGAGAAAGGCCTGTAGCTGTCCCCAAGTCTGGCTCTGTGCCACCCAGGTCTTCTCTGGGCCCCCACCCCCAGCCAGGGCACTCACTGCGGTGGAGAGCCTCGATGCCAGGGTCATCTCTAGGTTCCCCTTGAGCCCCAGCAGCGCAGGCACCAGGATGAAGACCTCTGTCACCTTCTGGAAGACTTCCCAGTGCTACAAGGTGAAAACAGAGTCCAGGAATTTCAGTGTCCAGAGGCTGGCACTGAGGTTGGAAAGGCAGCCTGGGATCGGGGCTTGGGAAGGAAATGGGATCAGCGGGCAGCAGGCACACCAGGTACCTTTCCTCCAAGAACCCTGGAGCCAAACCAAGTCCACGGTTCTCCTAACAATGCAGCCCCCATTCCTGCCACCCAGAACAGGGGAGCCAGAGGGGTCTCTCAATCTGGAGACCCCAAGTCTGGCTCTACTTCCTCTGCCTGCTTCCCTGGGGGAGAGGATGGTGAGGAGCTGCTCCGCCGAGCCACCCCAGGCTGGCTCACACCCCACAACTCCACTGCGATCCCCCCTCAAATCGCAATCCCCGACCCCCTTTGCCTTTAGTCCAGTTTCGCTGCAGCCTCAGCCTTGGGTGGTGTTGTCTCAGCTGTTGAGAGCTGGGCTCCACGGGGCTGGGGCTGAGGAGATTAGAGAGTTTGTTTGGTTTCTATCGCCAAGGGCTTTGGGCCTCAGCCACAGCAGCTCTCCTTCTGAACAGGCTCTGAGTTATGACTGTAGCCCCCAAACCTCTGAAGGCTGGTCTGTAAGAGGGTTTGTATTCCTCCTCGGGAGCCATCCCACTGACTTCCCCAGTCTCTCAGAGAGGAGAAGCAAGTGTGCCCCTGTGGATCTAGCACTGGACTGAGAGTTGGGGGATATGGGTTCTAGTCTTGAGACAATTGAGCCTGGCTCTCCTACCTGCTGCTTCAGCTAATATCTATTAAGTACTGACTATGAGCTCGGCCGGAGTCCCTGGGAGGTACAAATGATTAACATGCTTGGCTGCTAACCAAAAGGTTGGTGGTTAGAGTCCACTCAGGGTCAGGCCCTGGAAGAAAGGTCTGGCGATCTACTTCTGAAAAACCAGCCATTGAAAACCGTATGGAGCACAGTTCTGCTCTGACACACATGGGGTCGCCATGAGTTGGAATCAACTCAACAGCAACTGGTAAATGCGCTAGGCTAATGCTTTACATGTATTTTCTTATTTAATCTTCTCAACAACCCTATGACCTAGGGGCTATTTTTTGTCCCCATTTTCTAAAAGAGGAAACAGGTTCAGAGAGTAATATAACAGTTAATGCTAAGGGGGGAAAGTCCAGGAGCTGGGATTGGCTATTTAGAAATCCACTTTAGCTGAAACTAAGGACTTGCAAAAAAGAGGCTGGCATTGCGTCTCCCTCCTGGGCCTGATGGGGCAACACCAAGTTTCTTTTATTTGCCTTAAGAAACGGAAGGCCTCCACATTTGGAGAGGAAGGAGGGGGTGATGACTGGGCGGATGTAGGAAGGTTGGCAGGGCACCTTGGTCTAGGAGGCAAGGTGCTGTCACGGGCAAGGGCACTGGACTGAGAGACTTGGGTGTCCTGCTAGAGACCATGGTGAAGGGCCTCATGCTACTCCCCAACAGGCCTCCCCACACAGACCAGCTGGGAGGACAATAGGCAAGTTACAGGGGCCTCAATTTCCTGACAATTCAGGGGCCAGATGAGATGGCCTCTAAAGGCCATTCTAGCACCGACATTATAGTTGAAAGATGAGCAAGGATACTGGAGGGGGCTAGGGTCAGGACTAGAGACTGGGGTGGCTGGACACTGGGGGGTGGCAGTAAACTATAAAGCAAACCAGGTGCCACTGAGTCAGAACTGACTCATGGTGACCCACGTGTGTCAGGGTAGAACTGTGCTCCGTAGGGTTTTAATGGTTGATTTTTTGGAAGCAGATCACCAGGTCTTTCTTCTGATGCACCTCTGGGTGAACCCAAACCTGCCATGTTTCCATTAGCAGCTGAGCACATTAACCATCTGTACCCAAGGACCTATCTTTTCCTAGATTTTTAGATTTCTCTTTGAAGGTGGAGGGGAAGCTCCTAAGGGGACTCTGGGGAAGGGCTCATTTCACCATGGCTAGGGCACACCCTTCTCTGAGCTCCTGGCCCAGCCCCTCACAGGTGGAGGGGACAGGACTCTCCTTAGGGAAGCCCCTCTCTGGGGACTAAGAAGGGGGCGAGACTCCCTCATCCTCAGCCCCACCTCAGCCACAGCTGCTAACCGTTCATGGCACCCAAAGGAAGAGCCAGCCTCTTCCAAACGCTGGAGGGATATGAATCTTTTTGTTCACAGGGCCCCCAGAGAGAAGGCAGTCCCCATGAGGCAAGGGGTGCAGAAGCCGCCCTATCTGCCCTGGAGGAACTCGGGGGCTGGTACTCTTGGCTGAGACCGCTACAGACCCCTGGGATTTCAGCTGCCTGCAGTCTCTCTGCTTCATCTCCTCCTTCCTCCCTCACGCCAGACACACAGCTCCAGAGAGGAGAGGGACTCCCCTCATGAGGAAGGCTGACTGTGGACTCTCAAAGCTGCTCTCAGAACAGGGCCTCACTCCCATCCTCAGTGCAAACCACCTGCCTCTCCTGCTTCCAGGCCACTAGCTCAGTGGAAGAATAGTTCTCCAGGCAGGTGTACGTGGTGTGCATGGACTGACAGCATGAGAAAGCCTGGAAGGAAAGGCTTCAAGCACAGGCAAGAAAGATTTTCTGAATTGTTTGCAATGATATTGTAGCGGCTAAGTGTCCAGTCGGTTCCGACTCACAGCGAGCCTGTGTACACCAGGACGAAACACTGCCGGGTGCTGTGCCATTGTTGCCGTCAGTATATCTATTGCCTGAATTTAATGTTATTTTTTAAAAAAATGGATAAAGTTCAGTGAAGTTCCTCCAGTTGCTACTATAAGCACCCCAAATCTGTCCATCACTTCCAAGCCTCCACACAACCTCTCTTTTCAGCTACATGAGGACCGAGAACGTATGGAGTTTTAGTGGTGATAAGATCAGTGATACACAGGCCAGGGGGAGAGGCAAGGAGAGCAAGCAGCCACAGTAACAGCCCCTTCAAACCCTCACAGAATACAGCCTGGAACCTCACACAGAGGTGGCGCTTGGGTAAGGGGCAGCTGATTCCTACAAACATGCTTTTTCATCCACAAGACCGTCTCAAAGATGCAGCTCAGGCAGGGAAGACACACACACACACACAGACACAGACACACAGACACAGACACACACACACAGACACACACAGACACACAGACACACAGACACACAGACACAGACACATACAGACACAGACACACACACACACA